TTTTTAAATAACCCCCTTTCTCACTTGCTCCTGTACGCATTGGTTTTATTTTTGAAAGGATAGCTAGGCTTAAGTCACCCTCCACCTCAATTTAAACCTGCTACTTTATTTTTTTTTATTCTTATTATTACGAATTCCTCGTTTTGAGCGTTACACTTGTCTGATCAATTTGATCTTCAGCTCCTTCTTCCGTTGCTAAACCTCGAAAACTGGCGCTCTCACAAGATATTTAATCTGTATTTTTTGTCCATTGCCATTTTTGCTCATGGCTACTCTGTTTCTCGCTATCTATTTTTGCCCCTCCCCGCCTAGAGGAAAATAGCACCACGAAAAAAAAGAAAAAATAAGAGAATATTAGGGGAAGTAGTCCTCAGGTCTGCTGCCCCCCCCCCCCCCCCCCGCCCCCCCCGCCCACCTGTGGAAAGGGGGGGGCCTAGAAAACATCAGTCTTGAACTTCTTCCTCTTCAAGAGCTCGGGCTGCAAAGGAAACCTCCTTTGTTTTTGTTATTTATATGCTGTCAAGTTTTGAAGTGGTGAGTTTCGGGTCGGTTTTGCTAATTTCACTCAGAAAACTGCAGTGTTTCTGTTTCTAGATAAGTACTTTGCTTCTTTGTCTCTTTAAAAGGTCACAGGGAAAGCTTGGCCTGGATTGTGAGAGCCATATGGAACGGATAAGTGCGGAGCCTCTCTCAGATGTGATTATGGGTTTTTATGGGGGAGGGAGGGAAGAGGAGGGGAAAGGCATGGGGAGGGGGCTGATTCAGGAGGAGAGAAAGAAATAATATAATACCGGCGGCGTTACATCGCGACAAAAGGAGATACGGCACCGACTCTCATTCAGAAATTGCGCGGTGTGCCCGTACGTGTACGCTGTCTCTGGGAAACTGTGCCTTGAAATTGTGCTCTTCTCTCGGTGCCTGTGATGAAAACTTGTAGTTGTGAAAGATGCCTAAATGCGAAAGCCGGGGAAACTCTCGGCCTGGAACCGGTGGAGATGATAGTTCTTCCCTGCAACCCTCTCCCTGGGCAGGCCATGCTGGTTGTTGCTCATCACTATTCCAAACTGAGGTTTCGGTGAACTTTAGCCTTGGGCATGGAGTTTAAACGAGTAAATTAGGTGTTTTATGTGCATGTAATTTTGCTTTGTAACATAAAGCTTTTTACAAGATGACTAAGCGGTGAAAGGATGCCGATGGGTGGGTATTCTCAGGCCAAGCGAAAATGACCCATTTGGTGTTTTGGTTGTAGTCAGTGGATTAACTAAACTGCGATCTATCACTTTTATTCACTGTACATGATGTAGTGCGATTCTGACTCATGATGACTAGATACTTTTTGTAGCAAAGAACCTCGGTGCCTTAGAGTACTTCTAAAGTTGCCAAAAGTGACAAGGATTTTCTTGTTTCAGCTTTTTTGTTTTTAACTCCCCCCCCCCCCTTTTTTTTTTTTTTCGCTTTTTTGTTAATTCTCTTGTTCTTGAGAGAGACCAGTCTCAGAGAAGTAGTCCTATAGTATGTTAGCATCGTCAGAAACGTCGGAAGATGTTAACGCTTTGGGTCTGTAATTCTTTGCTTAGGCTGCAGTTAACAGAGTAAAGAAAAAAAAAATCTTTTTGAAAAGTGGCTGAAATAGGCACATTTACTGTTAATGAGACACACGACCTAAAACAGATGGGAGCAAGATGAATGGTAAACCTTAGCCTGTCACCTTACAGCATAAGGAAAAATAACCATTTTCTGAACTTTAGCTCTTCGGTGGCATTCTTGAGGTTGCTTGTAAACATTCAGATTAATATATTACCTCTTTCTTCACCGTATCAGGAAAAGCGGCATGGTGTTCAAACAAGAAAAAAATAGTTTACAGAATTGTCGTTGTCATATATACCAATGACATAGAAGTATATACCCCCCCTCTCCCCCAAGATGTTTAAGCTTTAATATGCTATGAAATGTGCAAAAAATGTATTGAATTACTAGGCAACTGAAAGAAAGTAGCAATTACCAGATTCACACCAGTCTTTCTAAATATGACTTCCCCAGTATTCGTATTTGTACTTGCTAATGTAAATGCTAGTTCATAAATTAATGTCTAGTCACCTGTCCTTAGTCATTATATTATATACATAACATAATTGTCAGTGTAGTCACACCTTTCTCAGTCAGAGAAAGGTAGGGTAAAATACCTAACAGTCACAACAGTATTGATGAATGCAGTCATAACCAGAAAGATGTCTCTGTTCCCAGCAACTGATTTTTTTTAATATACTTGGCAAAACAGGTTCTGATGAGTGACAAAAACCCTCAAAACTTACTCCGTTACGTTCCAGGCTTGGGAGATTTTTTAGTGATTTAACTGGAATTGTTATTCGTGGATGGAGGTTTCAAAAGTTTATAAAAAGGGAAATATAAGCATGCTTAACATATAACTTTTCTTAATTTGCTATTGAAATTACTTCTGGTTTTTGGTTTCAAATAGCTGTGCCAGCACGTAACTCAGCATCACCCAGGGTTTTTTGTTTGGGATTTTTTTGTATTAGAGGTCTTCAAAAGTACTGTAGAAATTGTGGGGTTTTTTTCCAGCGTTATGTTTTGTGAGATGCTACCTTCTCAGTTATTTTTCTTAATTCAATAAACTACTCCATTTAACACTTAAAGCTTAACATCTGAAAAATTTCACGTGCATATTTTGAACTTTGCAAAAGTTGATAAACTCTTTGTATAACATTGGTTAGGAAACTCAAAAGCAACCATCTTCCGCCACTGCTTTCCAAAGTTAAATGTTAAATTTTCTTCTAACTTTTGTTTTTAAGGGGGGGAGGAACTGTAAATGGACAATATTCTACACCTCTAGTAAATCTGTTGCTCCCCCAACTGAAGTTTTAACAATCTATTGTTGTGCATCCATTTTCTTAACCAAGCAGGTTGAGAAATGTTTCACTGGAATCTTTTTCTTTCTATGTCTCTGTCTCTCTTAGCACAGTAACAACACCCGGGATTAATAACAAACCTTTCTGTGAGATTTGTAACAATAGCTGTGTTGGAGCACATACCTTGACAATCATCATCATTTATATGAGTCTTAGTCTCTCTCAGATTTAGTAGAATATCTCTGAAGATTTTTTTTTTAAAGGGGTACTCTAGGTGGCTTTTAAAAAGTAATTCCACCAGATTATGATGCGATCTGTCTGTAAACTGGGGTATGAGGTCATTTTTGGAGAGTAAGTTTGTTTCTTTTAAAAAAGGTGTCTTCTTTCCAGTTAAAATAGTTATTTATTCTTCTTTATGAGCTTACGATACATATCTCTCTCTCTGTACATGTGCAGGCTGTGTACGTATATATATGCGCACACGTGTACAACATATATATTTTTTTTTTTTTTGAATCATGGCAGGTGATCTTTAGAGGCGGGACTGAGTATGGATCATTTGAACGAGGCAACTCAGGGGAAAGAACATTCAGAAATGTCTAACAATGTAAGCGATCCGAAGGGTCCACCAGCCAAAATTGCGCGCTTGGAACAGAATGGGAGCCCATTAGGAAGAGGAAGACTTGGAAGTACAGGAACTAAAATGCAAGGAGTGCCTTTAAAACACTCTGGACACCTGATGAAAACTAACATTAGAAAAGGTAACACTTTTGATAATTCTGCATAAGAGAAATATGTTTTATAATATTTGGGGGGGGGAAGCATACTTTTGCAGACTCTATTTGATTTATATTTCAGGATTAAATCTCCATTCTAAAATACCATATATTCCCAAGTCTGATATAAATCACATTTGGGAAATGTAAGCTTCATGCTTGGGTGGAGCATCTTGCTTTACAGGGTGGAGTCTGATTTTTGTTAAGGTAAAGGCTAGCTGCCCTGATTAAAGCAAATTCCTACATTGAAATAGAAGTAATGTAATGCATTAATTCTTTGAGTAAGTGTTGAGCTAAGAAATGCGAAAACATGTCAGAGGAAATACTGAACCCCCAAAAGAAATTCTCGCCTTTCCTCTTAATGATGGTCCAAACTTGGAAGGGCAGCTGTATTTCCATTAACAGTTGCAAGTTGGTTTAAAGGAGAGAGTGTAAATCTTTAGGTATCACATTGGAAAAGTCATTTATGATGTCAATCTTCGCAGTTTATTTTCTTAAGTACAATTCATTATTGAACAATGAACAACTTGGGTGTCATATTTTTCAGTGGCTGGTTTGCTGTAATTAGACATTTACACAAGGAAAAGGCACATTTAGAATCATTGATGTTTGTATATGGATGGCTTTTGTTTGCATTGAAAATACTTTTAATGGACAATAATCTATAAATTTTGCTTATCAAAATGTGTAAGTATTTTTGACCATGTCCTGTAGGCTTGCTAATTTAAATCAAAATATGCTGCATGTAATTTGGCATTTGTTTTAAAACAGCCTCTACTTTTCTCAGTATAATTGGTGTATGTTTATAATCCAGATTTTTCTTGCATTTGCTAAGCAAAGTGCAAAATGCAACCAAGACTATTAAACGCACAAAGTTAGAAGGCAGAGGAATTTCATTGTGTCTGATGCATAACATTTATCGTACAATCATTTATTTTTTCCTCGGTTTGGTGAAAACAAAGAATATATTGATCCCGAAATGAACAGACACAGCAGTCCGTATTGTTAGATCTTTATCTATTAAAAATGGAAAAACAGCACTTCAGCAAATTCTTTGGCCTCTGCTCATGATTACCCTATTTATTGATTGTTTGCCAAGAATGTATGCATCTTAAGAAAGCCAGGGTAAGAGCATTAAAAATATAATTTATTACGGCTTTTCAAGCAGAGTGCATTAATATTGTACAGTGAAGCAGTGGGGCTATATAAAAAGGACTTTCTGACGCCTGCAAACATATAAGTTCCATAAATTCCTAAATAGGAGATTTCAGCTGTCTCTGGTATTATGTGATATTTGCACAGCAAACTTTAATGCCAGGACAGTTTTAGACAAGGATTCTACAGACTTCACTGCTCCTTATGGCAGACGTGCTGTTTACACAGACTCGTAAACCTTCAGCAAAAGCTCTAACACTGCCTTCAGGTTTAAATCATGCTGTATTTTTAGCAGCGAGCACTGACCAATGCTCTCTCCTTTAATACTAGAAGGTTATGAAGTTGCTGCACTTGGAGGTCTTGCCAAGTACTAGCAGGAGTGATCAGCCAGCTGAGATTGTGCTCTCCTATATAACATTTTTCACATTAACAGAAGGACACTAGTGACAGTTTGCTAAAAGATTTAGTGGCTTGATTTGTAGTCAGATGATACCTGTGTCGCACTACCAGGATCCACCTCTGATAATCTATGCTGTACATCAAAATTTGGCCAGGAGGTTCCCCCGGGTTGTTTAAAGTACCACATTTTTCAGAACGCTGCAACTCACGAGACCCTGTACCCGGCAAAAAGTGTGCTGACGTGCAGCGAAGTACCTGTGCATTGCTAGTTTTGTGTCTGATCATAGCTTAATTTGTAGGAACTGATAAGTGGGAAAAAAACAAATACGCTTTAGCTGGTTTTGAGCGTATCTGCACTGTTTGTTAAAATGAAGCTTTGTTTACATTTTATCTTCAGGTATTAATGGTGAAACTTGTTAAGAATTTTGAGCCCTTAATCTGAGTCAGACGGTAGTAGGTCAAACATCAATTGTGAGAGCCTGGAAGGAAAAAAAAAAAAACACCACCTTTTTGCAGATGAAGCATGTGTGTGTGTTTTAGAAAGCTCTCCATAGCTTAATTAAAACCAATGAAGAAATCACCAATTTGCATGTACTGCTTTTGCTTTGGTCTTCTCTCCCTTTCTGACCAGTCTCACTTAGATTAAAAAAAAAAAAAAAGACAAAAAAAAAAAAGCGCAGCTCTTTCCTGCGCTACATAAATATTGGCAAGCTTTTAGTCTTGTCTTTCATGCTGAGCCTATTGGGCAAACTGGAGTGAGTTTGTGAGCTTTTCCAAGCGAGCCTGAAGGGGTTTGTTTGCCAGAGATTGACTCTCTGGTGAACAGATGTAGTTTAAATATACGTGCTTAAGAGGTATCTTTTTTATCGTGATTCCTTGCTATATGTTAGAGTACAAATCAACTGACGTGGTCTTCAAGCGTGTGTCTATCGTCAAGAGTAAATCTTCTTTTTTGACTGTGGTATGTCTGGTGCACCCTAGCAGGTTAGGAGGTTTCCGCAAGTCTAGAGGGCAGTGGTTATAGAGGCATTAACATTGTAGGACTAATTGGAGTTCCTGGGTGCCCTGTTAAAATAACCCTTGTCATCATTTATGCTAAAGATGATACCCCTCTGGCAGGCTGCCATAAGACAGTTCTGTACATCTGCTTTTAACCCTTTTGCTTTCTGTCATTACGAGATCCTTACCTGCGCCGCTGGAGACAGCGGGACAGGACCGGGCCCTAAAATCGCAGGTCCGAGGTCATCGTGTCATTCGCATCCGTCTGGGAGGCCAGGAGGGATTTTCACAAAGTCTAGAAATCTGATTGCCGGGAGAGACTTTGTCCCTAAAACAGCTGGGGTCATTTGTTACTTCTCTGTCTGTTGTCAAAAGGGAGGAAAAAAATTAAAAAAAAAAAAAGCCAAAGGAAAGGGAAGAAGGTTGTTTGCTTAATATTCCGTGCAGCGTAGGGAAGGGTTTGTTGTGCGATGCTATAAAACTAGAAATTAGTAATTACTTTCAGGCATACCAAAATAGCAATGAATAGCAGAAATGTTGAACGTAAAGTACAGGGGGCAATAAAAAAAAAAAAGCCCAAACTGCAGGTACACTTCTTAAAATGGCATTGAAATCATGATTTGTTTCTTAAAGATGTGAGTGAAAGTAGTGCTCAAGTGCACTCGATGAATGAGGCATGAATTAGTGTTAACTTTTGCCTTGTTTCCTTGTGTACTCTTTTCAGAGCGAATGTGTAACACGCAAGGTGATTTGTTGTTGATGTTGAAGGCAATTAAATATTTTTGGCAGGACTAAGAAAGTTTTAATGTTAACGAACAAAATTATGTAGCTGGTACTAAAATGGCTTACAGTGAAGACATCTGCAGTATGTATTTAGGTTCTCATGCTGCCTGCTACTCACAACAAATCAGGCAGGACAGAGAGAATCAACTTCTCTTCAGTCAACCTTCAGTCTATTTCTATAGAAGGTAATTCTTTAATCTGTATCCGATCAAGCGAGATAAATTTGCATTTCTGCATTTCAGAGAGATGTATGTTTTGTAGAACTTTGTCTTTTTTTGGTGGGGTGAGGGGAAAGGACTCGGGGAATATGTTTATCAAATATTTGTGATGATTCTTGATGCCTCCTCTGCCTGTTCGTACAGGTTTTATTTACATAACGCTGTATAGACCCACCTACTCTACTATAACTCAAGTTTAATACGTTAAATTTAATTCTTTTTAATAGGAAGTATGCTTCCAGTTTTCTGTGTAGTGGAACATTATGAAAATGCCATTGAGTATGATTCTAAGGAGGAGCATGCAGAATTTGTGTTGGTGAGGAAGGATATGCTTTTCAACCAACTGATTGAAATGGCATTGCTATCACTTGGATATTCTCACAGCTCTGCTGCCCAAGCAAAAGGTAAATAAGATTATGAAATTGTACGATGAATTATGTTTGTTTGTGGGGTCTTGGGGGAGGGGCAGGATTTCTTTCAGGAATGCAATGCAGGTTTTACTTCTTAAACTTCTTGCAGATTCTGTCTCTGTATTTTTCTTTTTTTCCCCCTTACTATTTTTGTTTAGTTAGTGCACGTTTTGTTCGTGGGGAATGTGGAGGTAGATTCTTTTTTTTTTTTCTTTTGTTTAAAGAAAAAAAAAAGACTTCAACTGAATCATTAGTATGCTTATTGACCTTAATAATCTGCTCCACTGAGGATCCACAAGGAAGTGTAAAGCATATTTGAGCAGATGGACTGTTGAGAGTCAACTTGCATTTATGACTGAATATCCAGCTCTGTTTCTTTTATTTTGTTCCTGATGGTTTTATAGACTGCAAAGTATTTTTTTTTTTTTAACTCGGTCCTTGCATTGCAAAATCCTTTCTAATTTATTAAGAGGAATGCTAACTATTATATCA